CATGTCTCAAGTTATCAGATGAAACATTTTCATTTCATGTCTCAAGTTATGTGAACATAAACTCATACATAATCAAAAATAACAAAATAATCAGAATAACAGTTGAGATCAGAATAATTGTGATAATTAAAGTTGAGTTTTAATATGAAGAATAATGACTTATTGATTACTTGTTTACAGTAGTATATGAAATGTGTAAGTTTGATCAGTGATGAAAGGAAAACTTAAGTTCATACACTGATTTCTCAATGTTACCCAAGCAAAAATAATTTAAACTTAATATTATCCCAACCACAATCAATCTTTAAAAAGAAACAAAATGAGAAAAAAATCCCTTATTTTGTTATTTTTGATTATTTATGAGTTTATGTTCACATAACTTATATATAATCACAAAACATTATAAACCAAATATTGTCAACCTGTTTGAATACAATTTAAAAGAAAACCAGAAAATTGTTAAAGCAGAATTTAATATTTTTATTTCAACTTTATGTTGAAGATGTAAGGTAGACTTTTCATCTACTCTATGTCTTATCTGATTATAATTCACTATTGAACTCTCATGGAAACCATATACAAAATCCATTACCAAGTTAGCATTTGCTAAAGTTGCCTCGCTTTATCATGCTTGCCATTTCCTTACTTTGTATTTCATCCTCAACTTCTACATAGAGATGTTATTCATTTCTGTATGAAATGAATAACATATCTCTATGTAGAGGTTGAGGATGAAATTATATAAAGCACATATATGACATTACATTTCTGTATGTAATGTCATATATGGGCTTGTTCTTTTAGAGACTTTTTTAGGCTGGCGCAGATGTATTTATATAGATTATAATACATCTACTGACTCAATGCATGGGTATATATTTTTTACATTTTTACAACTAGTCAACTCATTATATTATTATATAATGAGGGTACCGCTCTAAAACTGAGGCTAGCTGGTAGTCAGGTTTCCTAAACTCTATGGTAGCTCTCAAAGAGGCTGATTCCATCAATAGCTTTAAAATATCAGAGTACTAACAGTACAATGTTGCACATGGATGGTGTCCTTGTTCGTATTTTTGGTGTGAATTGTTGAGGCTGCAATTGAAACCCTTTGTTACGACTTAAGTATTATTAATAGTAATGAGGCAATTGCTTGGGCTATTAAATAGTGTACTGAGTAATATCTATGCTTTGAGTCAAGTTCTTTAACAAATTTTAAAATGACTGAAGTAACAAAAACTATAAAACACAAAAAACTTGTTCCTTGTGAGACTAATTTAAGTTCAGTTCAATGTTATTTCTTATTAAACTAACCAAGCCCTCTCTCTTTACACAGCCAATATCGTTGTTTTTGATGAGTTAAATGCTCATCACGCTGAATGGCTTGGCTCTAGTGTCAGTGACTCTGCAGGCGTTAAATCCCACAACTTTTGCCTTTCCCAATCTTTAACTTAAATAGTCAACTTTCCAACTTGTTTTCCAGACAGCCCAAATCATTTACCTTCTCTACTCAAGTTATGTCTTGTTTCTAATCCGAGTTAGCGCTTAATTTATCCACATTTACCCTTAGGTGCTTCTGATTACGGTTTGATCTCTCTAAAACTATTATCTCATTCTTCTTCTTCATTAAAATCCCCTTAACATTGTACCTGTTACAACTTCCTTAAAGCTGACTGAAACTCTTTGCGTAATTTTTTTCGAATGGCCTTTGGGTAGAAATCTTTCGTCTTCCTGCTGATAAATGTGCTTCTTACATAACTTCTTGGATTCAGACTGCCATGCTAACTTTTATTCCCATGGTCAATCTATTTATACTCACCATGGTCAATCTGAATCTATATAGATTTCCAGGTCAAGCCTCACTCATCTCCTTGGTTTACCTCACATTGTGCTCATGCAATTTCTAATCGAAACCATTACTTCCATCTATCAGCAAAACAATTCTCCAGAAAACAGACATCTGTTTACTATTGCTAGAAACCATTGTAAAAAGGTTTTCTATAACGCCAAAGCTTGCTATTCTCAGATCAAGACAAAGCTGAATTGTTTGCTAAGAACTTTTAATCAATATCATCTCTTGATTCCGCTAGTTTCATTCTACCTGATATAGCTGACAAACAGGTTGACAAGGGTTGAATTAAGGCATCGCAATTTGCAATATCTGTCAAATTATCTGGTCTTCAAAGTTTCAGTTTATGGAAAACCACGAAATTTACGGAATAGGCGAATAAACTTTAATTTGTTAGTGAAAATGTTATGAAAAACAAAACAATAAATTTATGACTACAAAAGTAATAATACTACAGTGTTGTTACTTTTATAACACTCTTTTAAGTTACATTTATAGTTTATTGTTTGATCAAACAACACATAATCAAGCTATTATAAATAAAAATGATTTAGTTAAGTAATTCCAAACTTTAATTAAAGTAGTAATGCATCTAGAAAAAATACAATGGATATTTAAACAATGTTAAAAACCTCAGCAACTTTTACGAATACATATTTTAATAAACAGTTTAGCATTTCTAAACATCTTACTAAATGTCAGGAAAAAACGCGCGTTCACTTTAAAATCAACCAATGAAAACACTGGTAATTTACTTCTGAGGAGAAATCTATATTAAAAGGGGAGGGGGGGGAGGAGGCTATAAACTTAAATTTTGTTTTATTATTTAATCAATTAAATCATAATAAAAGTAAAGACAAAAAAATATATTTCTAAATATACTTCTTTATAACTAAAATTTATTAAACTGAACACCTCTGTTTTTAGTTTTAAGTCAGTACTACTCACAGTGGCGAAACTAGGGGAGGGGGGCAACTTTAAAATCAACCAATGAAAACACTGGTAATGTACTTACCAGGAGAAATCTATATTAAAGGGGGAAGGTTATAAGGGGAGGGGGCTATAATTTTTTTTTTACTAATTAGTTAATTAAATAGTAATAAAAGTAAAGATAAAAAAATATATTTTAAAATATACTTTTTTTTAACTAAAAGTTATTAAAAATTTGTTATAAAAAGTTCGTGGTTTATATTATAAAGCGCTGGCTATTAACCCATGCATTTAAAAAATATATGCAAGTCCTTCATACCACTGCACATTGGTCGGAAACATCACTTTTCTTGGCCAAAACTATTAAAACTTAAAATAACGGAAATTTCAACTGGAATTTGAATTTGCAGTATATTTTAAGTGTTTTTGTATAAAATAATTAATTTTTTTTTAAAAAATTATCAACATTTAGAATTAAAATTAAAAATAAAAATTTTTACATAAAATTTTTTTTTCTTTTCTTTCTGAATTTTTATTTTTTTAGTTCTAAATTAGAAAATATACGATACTCACGAGTACATATGTTGCTTCTGGAAATTGAAAATATGATTTACACACGTATTTACGAAAATATTAAAACTTTATTAAACTCTTTAATTTAAATACAATTCATTATCCAAAAATGTATTTTCCTCTTCAAATTGTTCTGGATAATCGTCCTCGTCGCCATCCATATTTTCTAAATTCTCAGTCGCACACGTTTCACCGATATCCTCACAATACAATAATTCCTTTACTTCTGGTGGCAGTGTTAAACGCTTCCTTTGGTGCACACGTGTATTTAAGCGAAGAGATGAAATTAATGGATCCGATGTGTCAAGAGCTCTATGAAATATATCCAAAAGATTATCAATGCAGCTAGTCTTACGTGCATGGTGCAGTTTGTCGCTTTTATATATTTTGTTTCGTGACTCAGCTGCATCCTCTCCGAAGTAACCAACAGGAAGTGCTGTATTCTGCATTATTTGCTTTGAGTGAACTATAACTTTATGTACTGTGGGAGTCATTGGCAACCAGGGGTACTTGCTTTGATATAATTGACCAGTTTGAAAGCAATACTCTTCAAATTTATCCAAATTTAGGGAAAATTGACAAGATAAACATATTAATATTCTCATTCGAAATATTAATTCGGTGTCTACTCCTAAAACTTTCGAAAATTTATCATATTCCGTAAATGCTCTATGCGATGTGTTGCCGTCATTTGTGGAACCACAATCACCTGCTTTCGGAAAATCAACACGAAGACTTAGTTCTTTCCAAAACTCATTCTGAATATACTCTTTTTTTTTCTTAATTGCATCTTTATCTTCATCCGATCTTATTTGCCATTTTTTTACTTCCATCTTGTATCCTAAATGTAGTACAAACTCAAAAAATCTAATCCAGCAGTGCAGTGGACTAATTCCGTACTTTAGATTTCCATCGATAGGATGAAATTTTACACGGCTGTTTCACTCAATATAAAAGCGAGCCTGACGTCACGAGTTTATCAAAAAAAAAAGTATTTCCGCATAAAAAGTATAAAAATTCATTAACTTTAAAATAATAGTATTTTTTTTCTATAAATGCTTTCATCTTCAAATAAAAAAAATATAAAAGATCTATCTTTCCTTGTTAAATAAACATTTACTTTAAACGGAATAAAAATGAAAGCTGTAAAAATATTGTTAATAATTTGGCATCACTTTTCTGATTTTTGCGATTTTTACGCAAAACCTGTCTTAGGCCAACTAAGATTTGATAACATAGCTACATGGTCGATGGT